TTTTAATGTTGAAAAAAACTTTCTTTTATAATGGTGACAAAATATTGAATGTCATAAATCGTCATTGCTATTTTTTTAGAATAATCCAATACAAATAATAGTGTTCTTGCCAAATCCTATATGAATAAGAAGAAATGATAAAAAATTGACCAAATATTAGCATTGGTTTTTAAATGTAGTATTCTATAAAGTCAACCCTAAAATCTTATAGAAATAATATTGTTTAAAAAAAAAGTATCAAAATTATGAAATAGATAGTGATCAAAATCTTGTCTTGAAGCTTTCAAACAAATTCTTGTGTCAAGAGTGATCGCGTTAATATTGAGTTTGTGTCACTTGAAATTGCAAAATTCTGAGAAGATCCTATTTTATTATATGAATCTTATGATACAATTTATACCTCGAAACAAAAACCTATGATGCTAGTCATAACAAAAAAAATAGAGTAGATTAACACAACATTACCTTACAGTAATGAATTGCATCACGCAATAATCCACCTGAGAAGGGTCACGGAAATGACTAATATTTACAATCCACTACAGTATGCAAATCCCTACGATAACCTAAAAGCACACCAATGTTCACAAATAGATACCATAGAAGGTTATCATATCTACTAGATATAAGTTGAAGCTTAGACAGATGACTCACACTCACCTTTGCCAAAAAGGTACCAAATTTATCCAATTTCTTTTTCAAGGTTGTCACTTCCCGCAAGCAACAAGGAAGGTTCGAATAAACAGATACTGCTCATCTGTGTAAAAACCACAATTTAAATCAGTCTTAGATGAAAGTTATAATAAGATCATAAATATTAAAGAGATATTAAAATTTAGAGTTTTAAAACCTCATACTAGCAAAGCATACTAAGAATTTCTCAAGCACCAAACTGAAAAAAAAAAAAAACTTACCAGTCATACAACCATTACAATTCAGGAGACTTATTTCACCAGCACAAGTATCTTGCATCATAATTTTAAATCCACCTCATGACACAAGGAACAAATTTGAAACATTTAAATCTGTTTCCATAGAATTTAATATCAGCACAGAATTCTTTATAACAGGTAGATAATAAATATTGCATAGAGATTAAAATTCAGAGATTAAAACCTCCATCCCAGCTAAGCGTATAAACAATTTCTCAAGCACTAAATTGAAAACAAAAGATCACCATTCTGGAGAGTTATTTCACCATTAAATCCATCTCATGATATAAGCAACAAATATAAAACTTCAGAAACAATTTCCAAAGAATTTAATATCACAACAGAATTCCTTATAACAGGTAAAAAGAATAAGGAGATAATAACATTCCTTCAGGGGAAATGCACAAGAAATGCCTAAGCAAATGAATTAGAAATGGTCTCAAAGATTTTTTGGAACCCCTACAATTGCCAGATAAGAAACTAGTGATTTTTCCTATCAATAATAACGATGAAGTAAGCACAGCTGAAGGTGGAAGTCACTGGAGCTTACTTGCATATTACAGAACCACTAATGTCTTTGTGCATCATGATAGCAATGGGCAGATGAATAAGAGGCATGCTGTGAGGCTGTTTAAATTTGTTGATGGTTATATCGGTAGTTCCAGTTCAGACTGTAATGCCAAGTATCTAGAATACATCGGTACACCATAGCAAATCAATAGTTATGATTGCGGCTTATACATTACAGCCACTGCAAGAACTATATACTGCTGGTATGAAAGTAGTGAAAACGAAGATGCTAGTGATTTATGGTTTTCTGCTGTGAAAAAGCAGGTGACTCCATCAGTGGTAAGTGAGAAGAGGAAGGAGATACTAGGGCTAATTAAAGATCTAGTGGCCAATAAATGAGATTTCTTACTTAATTCATCAGTTAAAATAAAAAAAAAAATGGGCGTCACCATGCAAGAAGATGAAGTTCATACCAAAGATTTTGCATGAATTTCAGGTTTCCTTTCAAAATCTGGAAAGGGGCATGGGCAGGAAGTAATGACAATCGTATACATGTATGCCTATATGATTAATTTGTTTTCTATTGTTAAATTAGTGAGGATGAAATTCATGTATCCTCAGAGGATGGATCATAACTTTCCATGATTTCTATATTTATACTCTGTTCTTAGGATAAAAAAAATTGTATATCATTCAATGTTCTCCATCAACGGGAAACTTCCAAAATCAGATCCAATTGACTAAACAGGGTAATTAACCCTATCATTTATCAACCAAAACAAGAAATATAATAAACGTTACCCATATGTTTATGTTGCTAATAACATAGAAAAAGTACGGAATACATAGGTATGGTGTATGAGTGTAGATGGATATGTGTTTATTTGGATTAAGAATACTCCATACGATTAAAAAAGATTGAGAGAGTGTATGGGTATCAATGGTGAGTGCTTGATATGTATTGTATGTTGGTAATTCTTTATAACTAGTTGATCTTATTTTTCATCCGTGAATATAAGTTAATTGGATCGAAACACGTTAAATTATTATTTTTTGTATGATTAGTTGATTGTTTAATTCTGTTTCTGCTGATGTATAATTGGATTGAGGTTTTTAGCCTAACAAGGAAAACATTGTTCTCAAGCAAGCCAGAGATATTTCAAGCTTTTAATCTTTTGTCATCCCTTTTCATGGTGCACTACATTTGGAGCCTAAAGACACATTGCTTAGTTTCTTATGCTCATGATTGCATATTGCTTGATATCATAAGTTTTATTAATAGTAATTTATCCCACACAATTCTGCTTCTTTCTCGTACTTATAAATTGACTGTGATGTTGTAGGTTATGTTTGACAGGATGAAAATGGAGAAGGAAGAAGGCAGAGGAAGAAGAGATGACTTTGTTGCTGAGGGAAGCAGGGCCACTGAGCCACCAAGTGTTACTAATCCAGCAGCTACAAAAACAAGGGAAGCCCGCTCACCAGCAGCTACACGTTCAGAACAGGAAGTGGTCAAGTGGAGAATCGCTAGGCTGAATGAAAGGCTGAAGAAGCTAAATACAAATTCATCAAATCTTAATGTTCCTACTCTAATGGCCCTCACCTTTATCTTGTTTACCTTGGCCAGCGCCTATGCTTCAACTGTTGACGCTATAGATACTTTTTTCTGGTGTAACATAGTTAATTAGTTGATTAATTTCAGTTCTAAGCTCTTTGTAAAGATTTACTGTAGGACACTTGGGTTTTGTAGCACTTGTCCGTGTAAAGTAAACTTTGTTATATCATAGAGAGAATTTCTGTTGCGAAATCCGTTCACAAATTTCTTTTCCTATTCTAAGTCAAATTTTACTCTGCAACCCAACTTGTTGAGATATAACCTTGCTCTAACAAATGCTAAAAATATAAGTCAAAATAACTCTTCTACCAGAATTGTTTTTTTTTTTTTGGCCATTACCAGACTTGGTTCAATGGTTGATGGATGATACATTTTTTTTTCGTACGTTACAAAAATTTAGTGCTCAAATAGTGGCAGGCTGCAGTATGAATGACTAGATAATGGTGTAATATAGAAAACAAGACGTTAAAGAAACCTTTGTTATTTAGATATATTATAATTTATTAGTTAATTATTTTAATTGGCGATTATAACTAGATAATTATTCTAACAGTTAAAATTTATTTATGTAGAGCAAAAGATATAGTTCTTTACATTCTATGTGAAAATTTGCTTAAGACAGAAAGGAAGTCCAAAGCTTGATAGAATTTTACTTTCGATTTGAAATTTTGCTAGGATAGCCGAACGCTATGAGAATACTACCCCTGCAGAGTTTCACTTTCTGTGTAACAAATTATCTAAACTGTCGAACCGAATGCCATTATCGAGCATTCGATGTCCTTGATGAAAAATAAAAAAATTTGTAATTGAACATAATGTTTTATCTCAAAAGTGATGACTCTTTATTCAATAAGTGTTTATTCATAGAGAGATGTTTCAAATATAATTTGAGGCCATATAAATACTTTCATTAACTATCATTTAAGACAATTTTTCACATAACTTTATATTAAAATCTCACAAAAAAAAAAAATCTGATTGTTCTATTTCACTTCTTTTTTTTTTTTTTTTAATTTTGATTCATGCAAGTCCAAAAAGAACTTCAACTATGTTTTTTATTTTAAGAATGAGATAACGATTTCCAAAATCCACTTACACCGAAAGTTTAAGATATTTTAATGAAACTGCCTACCTAAAAAATTTGCTTTTGCCAGCCAGCGTCACGTGCAACACTCCCACTCCATTCACTTCAGGAAATCTAAAAAATCACTGGTCTATGCTTTAGTTATAGATATTTTCTGCACTTCTACTTTATTCATAGGGAAAGATCTGAAAGTCCCCACATTTTACTTCCATGCCTCCGGCTTGTGCTCTTGGTGCTGTCATTCCTAAAGCTTGATGAACAACAAATCACTGGGAGCTTCGATTAATGGAAATAAAATAAAATAATTTAATTAATTTAATTTTAAATAATTTAATTCAAAATTAATCCAATTAACCAAAAGAATAATCTATTTCAAAGTAATGAAACGTTTAGAAAGCATCGCAAGCTTTTAGCTCTAATTGACAGCTTTTTCTATGTTCTCTTATGTCCCTAATGAAAGAGAAATTTTCCTTGGTTTTAACCTAATACATTGTCTTCTTGACTCTTTAAAAGGAATGGAGAAAAAAAAAAGGCAAAATGCAGAATAACCAACAGAGCAACAAAATTTGCAAAAACCGGATTTTGACCTCTACCCCTGAATGCATGTAAAACCAACATTTCCGTCCCTATCTTGTTAAACCTAGACAAGGTTCTTTAGGCGAGTTACATAAACAAAAATAACTGGAAACTAGCAAGAGTACATACAGCCATAACCATTCCTTCTGTAGAATAGCCCTTCAGTTCATCCTCTTGTGAAACCACCAAGGAAAAAAAAAGAAGTATAGAATATAATAATATGCCAAAGAATGGTCAATAACTATTTCACCACCACTTAGAGGTACCAACATTGCCAATCAGAAAGATCTAAGCTTTCATTGGAATCAATAGCAATGATCTTTGGAGAGAAAACACAGCAAGGAACGAAAGCTCCTCTAGAATTCAACTTAACACACCAATATACAATCCTCAAGAAAAGTAAGATTTATGATGATATATACCATTACATAACATTTGGATTATACAAAGTTTCTCTACAATTTCAGCAAACAATTCAGAGTTTAGAAATACAATGACAAAGGAAGACTACAAAAATCAATTAACTATATTGCTCATAACATTTTTAGTAAATTCTCTACCATCATAGCTGAGACCTACAATTTTTACATTCTTCCCTATGTAATTCAGTTGCACTGCAATCTCAGGAAGTATACATGACACCTAAAGCACAAATTCCTCTGAATTCAGAGAACTAGACTTAAAATCATACATTAGTTTAACATACAATGTTCTTCAGACCCTAAATTAAACTGCAATTCCACAAATATCATTGTTTTATAACATAAAAATCATAGCAAATGTAGTCTTTAATCAACTAATCAGTTTAAGCTAAAACAGGTTATCTGGACATGTATTCTAGCAGAAAAACTAAAGCTCTTAGTTCTCATAATTATACAATAAACTATCTCATTCCTAATTTATCAATTACAACCACAACTGGGCCTTGCTCAGTCATATATTCAACAGACTGAGCAACCAAACAAGTATTGTTCCAACTCTCCTGTGACCTTTGAAGTCCAGATTTTTGCGAAGGTACAAGGCTGAAAGATTCCTTTTTGAGATCCAACAAGTGGAAAGATGCAGCCAGGTGGGGAAAATGAACGAAAGAAAGCATGTGAAAGAGCGTTAGACATTAGGTTTGCAGCCTAAGTAAAACTAATACTAATATTTACCTATACCACTATCTAAAAAATATAAAAAAAAAAGTAGATAGATAAGTAAAGAACAAATAAGATGACAATTGCAAAAATTACAGCACAAGTAAGAAATTTCTTTACCTGATACCATGCTCCTTTGCCCTTAAGAAGCAACAACAAATATCTGAAATCTTGATCATTTGATCGTTATTGACAAAACACTTTTAAAAATGTAGAAGGAAAATTTCATTGAATACAATTATCTAGATAAACAATAAGATATTATGGGAAACAAATATCTTACTTAAAAATGATACCAAGTGATTAAAAAAATATTTTAATGTCTACAATATTGTATAACTACAATGATACCAAGTGATCTTTGAGGAAGAGTACTAGCAAAACTGAAGAGGGGATCGGGATCATGAACTCTATAGTTAATGTAGCTCCAGAAGCAGCCACATCTAGGTATTGCAGAAGAATGCAACATAGTAGGCGGTAAATCTTGTAATTACAATATGGATCTATGAGGCAACTTTATTAGAAAATAAACATAATGTACTAACTGCGTGGTTACACTAAGTTCTGGGTAGCCAACAGATTTAGCTACCCTCTCCCAGTCACTCTTTAGTTTTGCACTTGCATTTCCTTTGAAGCTCTGTGAGTTCCTGCGAAGATCCAGGTTTTTCAGTAGGCATTTTTTTTCATTTTACTGCAGGACCAGTCATATGCCAAATAGTATTGCCTCCTTCTCATTAATACATATTATACATTGCAGAATAAAAAACTTTGGAAAACAGTGTACAGATTAGGGTGGCAGGGGGAGATTGCCTGTATTTCTAAAAATTTAGATCCATTTCACTCGGAAAATCAAATGGACAATTTTTTGGAACAAGTTTAATAAGGGAGTACCTGAATCTGCTTTTGAAGATATTTTACGTATTCTACTGCCTCTTCTAGCATGTCTGCTGTGTTTGTTTGCTGCAAGGTACAAGAAAGAAAATTGCAGGTCAAATAGCGTAGGATACAATTCCTGATATTCTTCAAAAGATCTATTCACATGACATTTACATTTTAGAAGAAAAAGATCTTTCTTTTTTGACAGTTTGGATGATTTGTGATAGACACAGATTTCCTTAAGCATTTGTTGATTGTAAACTTAGTACATCACTTAGACTAAAAGCTTAAAACATTAAGTCATGAGTTCATTTTACCTAAACCCTTTTACTCATTATACGCTCCTAAGGTGTAGGATATCTTTTAGAAATGCCACTTGACTAGTCCAAGACAAATGGGAGGATTAGCTGCCCACTTAGTAGTGTTATTTTCATTTATGAAAGCTTCCATTTCTCTCAATCTCCTTGAATCATCAAAATCACAACAGTAATTATTACAAACTAAGCCTTTTCCCACTCATCACTAAAATAATCAAAGTAGAATGGAAGGAGAATGAAGAAAACTTCTTAGAATGACCTTGTTAGAAATAGAATTCATATACTCTAAACCTTTAAGGATACCTTTTAATTTGCTAATATGATAGAGAGATGAAATTTTAAAGGCATTTGCCTTTACATAGATGAAAGCAACTTAAAGAATAAGTACAACCTTGAACCCTCTAAAAATTATGACATGGTAGCCATTTCTCTTATAACCCTTCTACCTTATTGATATTTGGATTGGTGTTAAATGAGAATAGCCAAAACTCATAAAATTCTAAATTACTTAGTTCTTCATCTGGAGCAGCCTCAGTTTGTGACACTAAAAAACTCATCCTTATCAAGTTCAATCTTGTAACTATCAAAGCAAAACAAAATCCATAGATCAATAAAGTTTCTATTGAGGTACTTCATCGAGTAGAATAACCCATCCAATCCATAGATTTATAGTTTCATCTCATTCATAGACTGTAAATATCCTTATTTCTCAAAAATCCAATGAAATTCACTCATCCTTCATAAAGTTAAACTCACACACAAATACATCTTGCTTTACAATTGGATCAAAAACCTAAACAGATCACTTAGGAAGATTTCGCATGATAAAATTATCACTTGAACATAAATTTATAGGATAGTCCATAAACTGATTGGTTAGGTTTATGGATATCTCTGCATCCTACGCATGTCAACGCTTTATAGCTTATGCCTTGTATAATCAAAAGGAAAAAACATAGGGGAAAACGTTTCTATCAAAAGTTACAGTTGAAGTGACTGACTTCAAGATCTGGCTACAGTAAGGTAATCAATCTATAGACTCCCTAGAAACCACAAGTTTTTATTTTTAATTTAAGAGATAGATCTTTCAAATGCCTTTACTCCACAAAAAGAACTCTTTTCCCCAATAATCAAGCTCAATGCATCTTCCTATGGATATAAAAACATCTTTATATAACCACAAACATTAAACACATCCCTTTTCTAACAGTGATTGAACCTTTAAAAGTAGGCAGTCAAGGTCCGTTTGGAGTTTTCTGTGGAAGGCATAAGTATCAACCAAATTCTCATTGTGATACATTGGCATCTTACATTGCAATTATCAGTGCAAGAATCCAGTACCTCATCATGACTATTTGAGCCAGCCTGTCTCACCCTCTAAATCTAAGGTTGCAAATAAACATCAATTCCTTTCTGCTGTTTTTGGGCCTGATCTATGAAACAACATCCACCAAATTGAACTAGCCTTTTCCTCAAAAACCTTAGCCAGTTAAAAGTATGAATCAGGGAAGTAGAGATAGAGAGATTATAACAAGTTTACACTTGCATGTACAAAAACTACTACAAATGCTCATGCTACCCAATCTACATTTCTTTATAGTTATTCTCATTTATGTCTCTTCCAGTGAGACATATCAAAGCATTTGTCATCAAACTTATTAGAATGCTACTATTAATATAGGTTAATATCTGAAATTTTAAAGAACCTGTCTTCCTAGGAAGCTTTTGAATTTCATTAAAGTTGATTCCGACAAGTAGCCTACCTTATCCATGTTGGGTACAAGCTCCTGAAGCTTTCTGATGCGGTCACTAATCCGTGTTCTTCGAACCTAACAAAAAATAGTGATGAACGGTTAGAACTCCACGTAAACAATATTTATATCTTATCAATGAATGAAATCATCAATGAGTACACTTACCCTTTCTGCAATGCTTCGAGGATGAGTAGCACAGCCACGCTTGGCACGCACCCTGCAAGGTACCGAATCCTCCAAAAGTTTCTCCATATCCACATCTATCAAATTAGATATTCCACTAGAAATTTGACCACTCTGCTCCCCTTTCTACCCAAAAAGTTTAAAGGAAAAAAAAGAAGGTACTGTAAATGCAAAAATTCAAACAATTGAAACTCAAACATAGACTATAATTATGCTGAAAGGAGTAATTTTACACTTTCCCCTTTGGCTAGAAATCTATGTCTCTTAGTTGGTCGGCCTTGAAAACATATTTTAAAGCCTAAACCTCCAGTACCATTGAAAGAAGACTTTAATGATTATTATAACAAGACCAATATCTTTCCTTTTACAGGCAATTCAAAAGACGGCAGAAATATAAATAAGTTCACAAAAAAATTTAAAAAGTGAAAAAAATAAGGGAAACCAACAACCCTTCCAAGTTCATATGGTATAATAATCTCGTACCAACTGAGACTGAAACTTTGTTGGTGGGTACTGCGTATCGAGTTCTCTAGCCTGCTTAGTGGAGGAAGAAACATCGATAGGTGGCGATAAATAGTCATAATTTGCTGGAACTCCAAAGTTAGTGAAGTAAGCATCAGAGGCAGAAGCAGAAGCAGAATTGTTTCCAAGGAAATCAGCTGGAGAACTGGTTTGCCTGAGAAAACCAGTAGGTTCAAACATCCCAGCTGGATCCGCTGAGTTAGGAAAAGGCACTGAATTTCGAGTGGTGGGTATTGTCGAATTGGCAGTGAGTAGCTGAGTCAAGCACTGGTTAGGCTTTAAAGGGTCCTCTTCTTCTTCCTCAAGAAGGACTTCTAACCAGGTGGCTGGAGCTGAGCGGAAGCGGGCGAGTCCACCTCGACTCACTTCACCACCACCACTAGAGCTGCTGCTGCCACCAGACGAAGGTTGCATCTGCTTCTGGTTCAGTTACAGGGGCTAGCTTTTTCTCTTATTGGTGTTTTTGAACCTCTTCAGCTTCAATGGAGAAAAAAAATGGAAACCTTTCTCCTTTTTTTTAATTTTTTTCTCAGCTGCTTTACCTTATAACGTAAAACCAAAAAAAAAAAGAAAAATTACAGTACAATAATTTGTTTGTGGATATGCCCTAACAGTACTTTGCTTATTTTGGCAAGTTTTTTCATGACATGATTTTTGGACCGTTGGATCAGCAGCAGATGCTATTACAAATATTGAAAAGGAAAGATGAAACGGTGGTTAAGTTCGCTCTATCAGAAAGGGTAACAAACATGTAAGGCCAGAAATCGCAACCTCATCATTTTCTTTCAGACTTCTTCACCGTGAACTCTAGAAGTAAAGTTTAAAGTTTGTTTCAGATGCACAAGCTTCACGTGATCTTCACCGACCAATGAAAATTTAGAATAGTATGCCCGTGCCGCTTAAGAACGTGTGGTACGTTTTTCTGTGATTTTTTTTGGAAGTGTCGTGGGAAAAATTTTGTTGCTTGATGTGGCAAATTTAAGGAGGGGGCGAAGAGAACAATTGCACCTATCCACAAATGCAAATGTAAAACAGTTTGAGAGTAAGAATTAAAACGTGAACTTCACAATTCTTTTTTTTTTTCTTTATATTTTGAATTAGATTTTGGTGAACGACGGGGACCTTTCTGCTCAATTGAGTTTGGATAGGATACCGAGCATGGGTGGAACCATATAAGGTTTATGGGGTGCTAAGTTTCTATTGAAGTAAAAAAAAAAATTACATGTTTTCTTAAATAAAGTTTAAAGGATTTTCATAGGTTTAATGTATTTATTACTTAGACTAGCATTGTTTTTACAAGTTGTCACTTTCATAGTAGAAAGAATATTTTTAGTAATAAATATTTTAAAACTTCGTTTGCATAATGATATAAAAAATAAATGCTTGAACGATAGTTTAATTGTAAATATTAAAAAAAATTGTGTTCAAAAGTTTTGACAAAAAATTATTGTGAAACATTTTCAAAATATAAAATTGAATTAAGGATAAATTGTAAAACTTTTAACAATTATGATTAGATATAAAATATTTAGTTTCTTATCACAATTATCATTATTGTTATTATTATTTTCTTTATAATTTAATATATTTAAATGAAACCCCACTAAAAAAAATTAGTATATTTAAATTAAACCCCACTAAATAAAATTTTTGGTTCCATTACTAATTAGATTTGTTCATGAGCTGGGCTAGATTCAAGCCCAATTGGCATGTTATTTCAACATTTTAAGTAAGTTTAAACTCAGCTCGGGTTGATTTTTCGAGCCTTATTTTTTGTCAAAGTCCATTCCTACATGTAATAATAAAGCTTAAACTCGTCCAAAGCATTGGTATTTAAAATTGAAAAAAAGATTTTTTTTTATTTTTTATAAATTATTAATTTAACTAATTTAATTAATTTTAATTGAATTTATGAATCATTTAAGCTTTGGTTCAATTTGATTTTATTGAATGTAATTTAAAATTAGATCATCGTTTTGTATAAAAAAAAAGGCTTTATCATATTATAAGTAATAAAGCAAATGGATCTTATCCATTATAAAAAATAAAGCAAATGAGCTTTATCCCATTATGATAAAAAATATTTTTTAATTTTTGAGCCTTAAACAGTGAAACCCAAGCTCAGCTCTATTTTTTGATCGAATCTCATTTATTTGTCTATGCTCGATTAAAAAGCTTAATATTCATATTTAACCTTCAAAATTTCAGGCAGGCTTTCGAGTTCGAGAGGGTCGTTTAGCCCATGAGTAATTCTACGGTTGATTATGACATATTTCCTTGCTTTTATTTTGTTTTGTTTTCCTATTCATTTAACACATAATGATATTGATATTAAACATTATGTAACCTCATTTTTAAGAATTTTTTAATTTTGATAATATAATTTACAAAAGTGAAGATATTTTTCTTAAATTTCATTTAAGTCAACTAGAAAAAATATATATATGGGATGGAAGAAGTGATATGGCATTGATATTACTTAATGCAATTAGGGGATTTTGAAAGTTTTTTTACAATTTATAATGATGTTGACTCAGAATATTATGATTTGCCTCACGATTTGTTAAATGAATAGAGCAAGAAAAGAAACTCATATAGCCCAATTAGGAGACCATAGATCTATTAAATTTGAGAGATAAGAAAAATAAGAAAAAAGTTAGGATCGGCACTTCATTGTTGTCAATGGAAAAGTAGAAGCTAGAAAACTTGTTGCAACAATATGTAGATATATTTGTATAGTTATATCAAGGTATACTTAGGCTTAGCACATATATAGTTAAACATAGATTGTTTTTAAAGCCAAAGACCAATACAAAAAAAAATTAAGGAGCATGAAGCCAAAGATGTTGAAAATCAAAGAAGAAGAAAAAAAGTATTTTAATGCGGGTTTTCTTAAAGTAGCCCAATACCCCAAACAGGTGGCCAATATAGTCCCAATTCCTAAAAAAATGGAAAAGTGAGGATGTGTATGGATTACCAAGACATAAAAGATAAAAGAAAAATGGTCATTTCTTATTTCAAATGTGAATACTTTCTTTGAAGAATCTATATTAAATGAAAGCAAGCTTGTGGATATAAAAGACCATGTTCTCTTAAAACAGCTCTATTTATGCTTTTTAATGGATAAGGAAAGCATGCCAACTTTAATCTACCCAATAAATTAGAGATCCAAATCATCAATCTCAAATGAATGAAATTTTCAATATTGAATCTCACATTATTGTCGTAATTGTTTGAACATTCATTACGTGAAATATGAGAATGAGTGAAATATGAAGGGATATATCAAAGTAAGGATAAAAATAAGAATATATAATGAGATGCACTTGTCATTTTATTGAAATACAATATAATACAAGGTAAACATATAAAAGACCTCATTGTAGTTCATTACTTCTAAAAAAACTCCTAAAACATCTCTTCAAAATTATGCCCCTATATTATCGGGCAAAAGATTTTTAATGACACTTGGCCTTTTTTATCATCAAACTTTTATCAAACTAGCATTGATGAGACCTTGTACCTTGTGTTTCAATGCAACATAATTCTCTATTAAATGACTTGTGATCATTGGTTCAACATGAACAAGGGCCAATAAATGATTTTCCACTAAATACGATAACAAATCTATATGTGTCATATGAATGTGATTAAAAAAAGGCTCCTCTTTGTTGTTTGACGGTCCCATCAAATTACTAGTTTAATTATAAGGTTTTAGGGCTATTTTTGCAATAAGTATGATGGTAAAGCTATATGTATGAGTTAGCAATTGAAATGATGGCTGAAGAGCAGGTAAATAAATTGGTTATTGGATTAACTGGTAGGGTAAGGAATCGAAACTACATTTTTTATAATAGGGTAATAGGCTTGGTACATTAATTAAAGATATGAAGAAAAATTTCTAATTCGATGCCCCTCATAGCTCATAGGTTAAGCTTTATTCTCTTTCTTCTTTAGTATTTCATTTTTTCTCATGCTAGTTGACTTTCCTTTACCTTACCATTTTTTATGGCATTTTTAATTATCTCACTAGAGATTATCATGTTAGCAAAGTTTTTGGTGGCATTTTTGATCATTTTCTTGTAATAAAAAGCCTTCAAGGTGTTAATAAATAAAACAGTGGTTTCTTTTACAGTAAGAGGTGGTTGGACCTAAGTAGCCATATCTCTCTACCTCGGACATATTCTTTGAAAGATTATATTGCCTTTTTCTCCATGCTCTGCAAAAAAAAAAAAAAAGATCAGGAGAATCTATAATGTGTCAATGTTGGGTAATGAATGCCTTAGCAAGCTCTTTCCAAGAGTGGATATGGGTTCTATTTAATTGGATATACCATCTTATAACTAAGCTAGTAAGGCTATCCTAGAATACATGCATCAATAACTTTTCATCACTATTATAAGTAGTCATTTTTTGATAGTATATAATGACATAAGTTATCAGATACTTCATAGCATCATACTTCTTAAACTCAAAGACCTTGAATTTTGGTAGGATTACAACATCTAGGATCAGGCAAAGGCCAGTTGCATCTATAGAATCATAAAAGTTTATCCTCTTGATTGCTCTTAACCTCTCTTTTAGTAAGTTCATCTTTCATTTAGCTTTCGAGTCCTTTAAAGTCCTAACTGCTTTCAGCTTTAGCTTTTTCTTTTTCTTTGGGTCATCTAAGTTAGGGACTTGAAATGGTTCAATTGTTTTTTCTATGAAGACAAGATCAATGAAGCTTTAAAACTACCTTTGAGTTGATGCAGAAGGCATCCTAAAATAAATGTACCCAGCAAATAAAGTGAATTATTGTTGAAAAATTCCTTAAAAGGATTGGGCCTAATATGGGCTATTATCAGGATGGTACAACGGGTCAACAACATCTTATGATGGATGGTCTTATGGACTGGCATTTTTTCCATGACTTTCCCTTTATTTAACTTGTTCAAAGCTTATAGAATTTTATTCAACTCTTCCTTGAGCTCTTCTTAGGCCCTCTCTATTTTTTGAAAGTGGTTTGCATTCTTTTGCTCTATTGTCTAGCTAAGGCCCACGTATTGTACTAATGGCAAGTGAGCTACATCGAATTCTTAGATGGTTGAGATTAAAACTTAATATTACTTAATAGTAATATTTATGCTCATATTACTTAATATTTATGCAATAGTTTTTAAGATTATCCTAACTTGCTTAAAAGTCTTATATGAAATGATGAATGTATGCGTTGGATGCTTGACACAACAAATTATGATGCATAAACATATAAATGCATGCATAACAATGTATGAATGGATAAATGAATACATATTCTAATGTTTATCATATAATGATGCATGAGTGAATGCATATGTTAATTATACATGCATTAAAGTTTAACATATAATCATTTAACAATAAATAAGAGACTAAATAAAAGTTTACTCATATGTCCTAACAAGGGTTATATTCTAATGATAGTTAGGCATGGCTCTAGCTTAAAGTTGGCTTCTTATATTTTACTACATGTGGTTTAGATTCACAATTTAAAGGTTCTCAAATTATTCGTCACAT